TGTCGAACAAACCATGGTTCAAAAGGTTGGACATGAGCCGCGACTTTATACGCGTTATATCAAGGCTAATATCCAATCACTACTCGTTAGACTTGCAATTCTATCGAATTGGGCTCTCAGACAGCAATTTATGTGCGTGTGGCAGTGGTTATCACGATATCGAGCATGTTGTTTGGTCATGTACCTTACACCGTGTTGCCAGATCTGAGTTATCCATATCCCTCAGGGCCCGAGGAAAACAATCCGCGATACCCGTTAGAGATGTCTTGGTGAGCCGAGATCTCGACTATTTGAATTTAATTTATGTGTTTTTAAAACGGATAGATCTGAGGATTTAGTAGTTAGTGTCATCTTGTGTTCTCTCAAGCTGCTAGGTCCCCATCGGTGTACCCCCATGTTTGTCTTTTTCTCCAGTATGTCGGTTAGTATGAGATCAAGAGCACATTGCTTTCCAAACCTTGTGTTCACAATCCCTACCCTGCCATCCATTTGTTACAATTTGTTACCCCTAACCTCGAGATAGCCGTGAATAATCGGCGCCCGCGTTACTAACGTTAGTTTTAAGTAATTTTGTTATCTAAACAATGAATATCGGCTCCGCAAAGCTACAGCAAATGAGCTTGGAAAAATCAACGCATTATAAAAAAAAAACTTCAAAGTGCGCCATTTTGAACTTACGAAAAATTGATATCAGAACCATTTACCCAGAATCTGGGAGATTCCACTCATCGGAGCAAAACTAGTTTACTCATTTTTTTTGGCAACTCCATATACAGCATGCAAAAATTAGTGCTATCTACCCAGTCACAGAGTAACCAGTTCCGAAAACCGTTTTTTTGTTCAATTCTAATTGGGCCATAACATCAATCTATAGATATATAGTATTTGATATTGCGAGACTATTCACAACGTGCAAAAATCAAGCTGATAGTTGACTCGACACAAAAATGATTCCGTTGCACATCCCAACAAACAATCGTCTATTGAAGAAACGACTTCTTGACGATTTTATTCAACTGCATGCTTAATAATACTTGTATTATTGTTAATAATAACTTCTGTTCAGGCTTTGTTCACACAAATCTGGAGAATTTATTCAACCACAACATTGATCTACTTGGTGTTGTATAAGGTACATCGAGAAGCTTTTATTCGACACAAGTGAGTTGTAACAGAGCTTATTCGATAACATTTTTGATTATTCAGCGTTTATTAGGCATCACTGCTTCCTTAAAACAGTGATGCTCTGTATACGCTTGATTTTCATGTGAAGTAACGTTTATTTAGACATTATTATACATTTTTTAAACGATTATTCAACTCTGGGGAAATTAACCAGAAAATGAAAGATGGGAACATGGGAAGGGTGTTTCTTTAGTGATTGTGATTGTTTTCATTATTTGTGACTTAGCACGCACCACAACACGCAGAGATATTAGATAGTTTTTTACATGCATATACATGTCCTTGCATAGGATTTGAACCATGTATCTTCCGATCACCATACGCTTGCCTTGTCATCTGAGCTATCCTATAATTCATCATATGGGCAGCTCAATAATCAATAAAAGCTTGCTTGAAAGTGGTTATTTTTCAAACTAGATCAATGCATTCATTGTCATGAGTCATGTGATCGATGATTACTATTTAAATGAATTTGGACGTAGAACAAAAATAAAAAAAAGGGTTGAGCTTGGGATTGAACTTACGACCTTCCACTTGGAAAGCGGAAACGGTAACGACTACTCTATTGATTTCGTCTTGTTGTTAGGCTGAACAAGTGTTGTGGAATACATCGTTTATAAAGCATTTACAAAGCATACGATTAAAACATGGACACATAGTGGTATAAGAGATAATATTTTGACTGTATTCACCTTTATTCAGCAATATTCTCAAGCAATGCAATGAAATCTAACAATGGAGCTAAAAACATTTATTAGACGTCTAATAAAGCATGTTATTAAATCAATTGAAAACAGTCGAATTAAAGTATCAATGTATGTGCTAATTACACTTATTCAGTTTGTTATGTTATGTAAACTTCTGGCGTCAAATTGGGAAGGCAGTCAACTTTTATATAGCTTTTAATAAGTAAATTAATCAGATCAGAGCAAACAGTGGAATAAATGTGCATCTATCAATCTCAATTAGCTTTTTTCAGCACATAATTCAACAACTTATTTTATTCAGCATTGTACACTGTAATACAGCATTTATTCAATACATATACTTATTTGTGACTCTGAACTGTTTGTTGAGATCGTTTTCTTAGAAAGAGAAAGTATAGTTTGTTATCTCTTTTTACACACTAACTTTAGACTACTGGAGTCAGTAAAAATTTACTGGGTTTTTGAATTGCGAATCGTCCATATAAGGAGATTTCTATCCGTGTACATTGAAACATGTATTTGAATGTTGTGCAACATAAATATGAAATCATACTGTCGCTTAAAATGGTCAGGGTTTGAATCTACAAAATCGCAGTAAGGAATTTAAATTTATTGCAATTCATGGCTGTTCAAAAACTGAACCACGGAATAATCGTTTGTTATTGTTTTCTCGCAGCCATTATTGTTTTCACAATGAACAGGTACACTCAAATCTACATAAAACTACGATGAATTTAATATATCAATAATGAGGATACAATTTTATATGTATTGACTGCTCGTGAAAACTGCGCATGCTCAGCTTTTATGTCACCAACATGTTGTTTCACTTACGACTTTGAAGCATACTATATCAAGTATCTTGTATCGAGCACAATGGTTCTAACATGTTCTAATGCGGAATGTATTGGAACAATATTGAAATTTATTTTAAATTAATATTTCAAAATACCTCGCAAAATACCCTGTTTTCTAAGTGAAGACTTTAATTGGGTTGTTTAATTTCGAAAAACATACCGGTTTTAATACATCATCTGAAAGAGCTTCGTTTTCTGAGCACAAAGATATTTCTATTTATTCCATACACTAATAGAATTACACGCAATTATGTGTGGTCACATGAAAATCATGTGGAATTTTACATGGAAATTCGTCAATAAAGAATGTCCATGTAAAATTCCACATGATTTTCATGTGACCACACATAAACAGAATCCACCCAGAAGCACACATGAAATTTATGAGTCAAATGAATAGTATGTGTGTTTTTTTTCTTTTGTTGGGGGGAGTTGAACCACTGCGTCCATTATTTGAACTTTTGTGGTACACATGGCTTTTATGTGTACACATATTAAGTATGTGTCCAACACATAGATATCATTTGTTGATCACATTACAAAAATTCATGTTTGAGACACATAAAAACAATCTTTGAAATTTTAACAGTGTAGACATTCATCTCAATTTTCAAATCAAGATTTAAATTTTGAATTGTTTATGCTTAATCTATTGGTTAACATCTCGATTTTTAAATCAAGATTTAAAGCAAAATAATAACTTCACTGTTTGACACTAAACTGACAAACTGACAGCTCGCTCCCATACAAAGTGACACCGAGGGGCGTTAATAAGGTGATTTTTGCAAATGTAATCGTACTTATTTAAAATAGTTCCAGTGTATCAAAATTGATGAAATTTTGGATTATAATTTCATTTTTAATGCAGATTACGATTATGCATTTACCTCAATACCCTTAAAGAACCCAATTGGGTTCTTTAAGGGTATTGAGGTAAATGCATAATCGTAATCTGCATTAAAAATGGAACCCAAACCCAAAATTTCATCGATTTTGGCACACTGGAACTATTTTAAATAAGTACGATCACATTTGCAAAAATCACCTTATTAGCGCCCCTCAGTGTCACTTTGTATGGGAGCGAGCTGTCAGTTTGTGAGTTTAGTGTCAAACAGTGAAGTTGTTATTTTGCTTTATATCTTGATTTAAAAATCGAGATGAAAGTGTGTGGGTTCGATAAAAATATCGCTGTGCTCCGAAAACGACGCTCTTTCAGATGATGTATAAAAAACAATACAATTTTCAAAATTAAAGAACCCAATTAAATGGAAATTACTAATCCTTTTCTCTCTCTCTCTTTATAAACGTTTACTCTATTAATCGTTCCCAATAGACCGTGCTAGCATAGAGGTAACCCTAAGACCAGAAGGTCCCGAAGAAACGTGCTCAACTTTTTGGCTCTTCGGTCCCAAGCTAATCGATGCATCCCTCGAAACATAAGAAAATCCTCGAACCCCTCATTTTATCTGTCAAACTTTCATAGCATATAAAAAAAAACATAGTGTAGTACTAGAATGTCGACAAGAATGGAGTACGCTAATAGATGTACTTGGGACCAATACGAGGACCAATAGGCTAGTCAAGTAGTGAGCCAATTTTAAATTGGCTCACTACTTGACTGTTTTCTGGATCATCATATGATTAGTGTTGGTCAGCTTCAAGTAGGCTATTTTATTTTTAATATTACCGATACGGTGACAGTGATAAATGAACATGTTTGATAACAGTGATATATGATGATGAAAAGCAGACTTTTAAAATTTTCCATCCCGCTTTATTTTCCAGCCATTCGTGAATGATAATCAACAGTTCTGCCAATCTTATTGACCCGACCACGGTAGCGTCAGCCAAAGTTATGACTTCATGAGCAATACCGTCAAAGCAACTTTTTCCGAACACATCAAGATACGGATACGTTGGTGAGTGCTTTTCAATACTGTTCATTGGAATATTTGAAACTGCGAAACGTGAAAGTTATCAAAATTTAATTGAAACATTAAAAGAATCACAAGAATTATTCTGATCTGCTAACTGCCACCTCCGGCTCACTGTTCCTGTCACGCTACATTTCCCATTCAGAAACCTGTTGCCCATGTCTATGTCGCGCAACATATTTCGCTCAAATAACCATTTCGACTGCGCTACACCGAATCCTCTCGTTTCGCACCGGTTCGTCCGGTACCGCTGGCTGTTTTCGCACGCGACATTCGACCGCTAGAAACCGCCTGGCAGAAACGGCTTCAATCACTCGCAAACACATCACACAGCCAAAGCAGGGAAGATCAAAAGTGCCCGAGTTTTGGTGCAAAGCAGCAGCAAGCATTCGAATCGAAAAACCGCGTCGCTTACAAGTTTTTTTTTCCGGTGAAAATCTTCTAATAATTTTCGTGATCCAAGCAAGCGGCGAACGGTAATTAGCTCGAATTCTCGTCGGAACGGTAGTGAACCTTAATAGCTAACCTGGTCCGGAAGGGATCGAACGTTGAACGACGGATCGAACGGTCAGTTCTGGTTATAGTGGATTTGTAGTGCTCCTCAGCCAAGCGGCGGAAGCGTTTTCGGGATTAAAACCACGATAGTACGGCAGGTAAGGGAATCTTCTGGGACGTTCGGGTCAATTTTTTTCGGGACTATAATTAAAAAGTGGTGGTACATTCGATTCCTGGAACAGATTTCGCGTGCTAGCCCTTTTCCAGCGGTGCACGGCGTAGTGAAAATATTTTCGATTGAATTTGTCTGAAAGATTTTACCGAACTCAAAACGATTTCGTGGTGGATGTGGTTGTCGAATTTGGAAACGATCAAACGAAACGGAAAAGCAATAAAAAAAAGTGGTTCCAGGGTACCAGCCAGCCAGCTAGCAGCAGTATCCACCAACACATTCAAGGTCATTCCCGGCATAATTGGCGCTCTCTCGTGCTTCGAGCTGTGTATCGCAACTTTCTCACCTCCTCCTCATGGTAGCATGTTAGCAGCCAACCAGCCACACGCTGTTCAGTTCGCAGCTCAATGTTGCCAGCTGGTGGGAAGGTTTCTCGACTTTTGGATAAACATTTATATCAAATTGATTGGTTTGAATTTTTTCTCTTGTCTCTTTTCTGGCAATTAATGCTGTGATAAATGCAACCGGAAGAACCAATGGGGTTAGCCTGTTTGAAATCCATTGCCGTTTGCGTTGTTTTCTAAATAGGAAAATTATGGGTTGTTGGAGGAGTATCAGATGTCTTTAGTGTAAGAATTTTTTGCAAATATATTTCGTTTTAAGATAAAGTTATATTATAAAGTCAGTAGGAGTTTGCTGGTTTGCGTGGGTGTATTTTGGTTCGCGTGTAAAGGGCCTTAGAAAGTTTGTTTACAAATGCTTTTGTACCGTTATCAAATGTTATGCCTGATACGTCATTTCCCTGAATTTATCGTTTCCCGGAAAACTATTTCATGGAACGTACTGGAAAGTATAGATTCGTTTGGCAGGCCTGATATACATAGAGCATTTCCAGCTCAAAACTGGCAAAATAAAGCCATTTTTGTCCCGACCCATGCAGACCATTATAATATTACGATATTACCTCGAATATTACCATAGACAAATTGACATAACACATTTTCATCGAACAGGCATTTAACGGTCAATTTTAGTTTTTCTTAGTTGGTAGTGGCGTGCAACCACTTCATTCGAGCAGTTAAAATGACGTTTACTACCACTCGAACTTTGAAATAGAACATTATTTCAGTGCCAACATTTCAAAGGGGCGTAATTGCATTTGTAAACAATGGCTTTAGCCGACGATTTCTCGCGAATAAAAGCTCACTTATGAAAAATAATGACACCAATAGGTAAAGGAATATTTCCTCTATCATCTAGCTTTGTTATTTTGAAGGAGTGAGCTTTAAGATGCGAGAAATCGACAGCTAACGCCATTCTTTACAAAAGCAATTACGCCCCTTTGAAATGTTGGCACTGATTTTAAGATTTTTTCTTCTAGAACCACGAGAAAAGTAGCCAACATTTGTGAGTTTCATAAAAAATAGAAATTAGTTTTGTGAAATCGGTGGTAGAAAGTCACACCAAAACTGATGTACAAAGAGGTCAAATTCACTTGCGTTTGACGTCTACACATTACCGCCAGCTGTTGCGCTGTTGCCCATGACAGTGTACTCAACAGATGGCGATAGTGTTTAGTGACGATGTTTAATAGCGAAAACTAAAAATCCTCAGAGAAGAGATGAGCGGAGAGATTTTTTTTCGAGGATTTCTTATTATTACTAGATCATATTTCAGAGTATTGTAATCAAAAAGAAATACAATAATCATTATTTTTCGAGTGCTTCTCAATTTTAACTAGTTAGACTAAAAATAGTATTCTGACTATATTGATTGATTGATCTTTGTTGGTTAATTAATGGCACCAAGAAATGTGTAAATATTGCGATGCACTGAATTATTATTTTGCACGCACCTACATCGGATCGAAAAGAAAAGTCATTGAAATGCTACACGGATAGAAATCTCCTTATACCTTTTGGCAAATTTCCATTGCTGATTATTCATAAATTGTATAAGTCAACTAATAAGCAGACGCCTTGCAAAAAGTTAATAAAGATCATGTGTCAAATGAAATGTATGAGTGGTCACACATACCTTTTATGCATTCTAATAGGACCTATTTTGTTTGTCTTATGGAATGTATAAGGCTGATGCTTTGGTAAAAATGTATAAGTGAAACACATGAATTAAATAATTGATTTTCGTTTCGTGTAGCTTCTAGAAAGGGTTTCAAGACCGAATTGTATGTTGATTTCTCCGACCATCTCTCCCTCTGAGTATTTCTAGTGAAAACCATTCTATGAGTTATGTCTGTTTGTCTGTGCTATTACCTACAACTTCTTCTTGTCATTTTGATCAAGCATACTGTTTTCAAGTAATAATTCATTGAAAAAAAAAATATCTCATTTTTTTTACATAACCCAATACATATACCCAGCCGGCGCCGGTGGTGTAGTGGTAAGCGTGACAGCTTTCTAACACCCCGATGGGTCTGGGTTCAATCCCAGCCGAGGTCGGTGGGATTTTTCTGAGGCATAAAAATCTCTGGTCACGTCTTCCTTCGGAAGGAAAGTAGAGTTGGTCCCGGCCCATGTGTGTTGAATGGGTGCGATATCCTACGCAGGTGTGGAAGCTGCCTTCCTGCACATTCGACTGCCGTCAATGGATGGCAATCGATGTCCGTCGGTGATTGGCACTAGATTACGGAACAGAGACCGACGTTAAATAAAAGGAAAGAAAGAATACATCTACCCAGTTGTACGGTACTTAGTATTTGCAAGTCGTTTTAGATTTTCTTTTGTTAATCTTCAACGTTATTTAGCGGATGATTTTTGAACGTGGAGTTTGAAATTTACGGTTTTATTTTTTTTTATCTAATATTTTTTGCGGATTTGTGGATTTTGAAATTTATATAGATTATTCTTATTTTTCTTTTTGTTGTACTTCAAATTATCAATATAATTTGTTTTAAATATTTTTTCACTTTTCAAAAGTTCGGTTTTTGCGCGGTTTTTTGTTTTTGTTTTTCTTTTTCTTTTTCGGTTTTTTTTGTGTGAATTACGGGAAGTGTTACGGTTTTTACGCGTTTTTTGTGTGGTTTTTGAAGTTTTGTGGGTGTGTTTATTTGCTCAAATTGAGCTAGAGAGGCGTTTTTATTTTGCCTTTTTTTTTACCAAATGCGGTTCTATGAAATTTGATTTGTTTTTGGGCGGCGCTTTTCGTTGTGTAGCGATCAAATCCGGATTTCAATAAGGCTTCAATTTTTTATCTGATGCCTCGTGTCTTCAATATGGTCCTGATTATGTAATCACAGTACGAGCTGGAAAACTACAGTGATCTAATGAGCACCATAGCTCGAGTCGTCTGTCAGTATTGTGTATTATATGAAGAGCCCAACCGAGATAATAACCAATTAACACTGCAGTTGGTAAACTCTCGAAGAAAAAAATGTTTCCAATTCGGAAATAGTACAGAGAGTAAACTTTATTATTATATTATACTACCAAAGTTACCTCCAATAGGATGGTGGAGTATATAATAATTATTGTTAGAGTATTGATCTAATTATGTCTTCAACTACAGTAAGGAGAACACTAACTGCTAGAGTTCTATCTCGTTAAGTTTGAAACAATTTTTATTGCCTAGATGTATGTATATATAGTCTACATTGATTGACAATTTAAAATAAATCGTAAATTGTTAAATAGGAGGTAAGGCAAACGATCTACACTGATTTATGACAAATAAATAAATTTAGATTTTCCTGAATTTTTTTTCCCGAATTTTTCCCGAGTTTTCCCGGTAATTACATTTTGTTTTTCAAACTGGGAAATATTTGCTAGGTTATGGAGACTTGTCAGCTAATCATAGTTATTCCAACGTAGCATACACCTAAAGTAAATTATTGATTTCCAACACACTCTAACCAGATTGAACAGTCAACACTAGACACAGGATAACGCACAACACCTACTAGACTACAAAAAGATCCACCGATTGGAGTGCGAATCGAACAGTTACTTCGTGGGTATTCTCTTGTCATTTGCGAACACTAGCGCACCTAGCGGTAGAACGCATCTTCTGCCTGCAGTTAGGATAGGCAGCATGCTATGATAACACTAGTTTACAGCATTTTTGAACTCGGTAAGGTGATGATCATTTCCAATGCAAAAACCTACGCTGAATTCAATGCCGTGGTCAGAAAAAATTAAAGTAGAGCCATTTTTGAGATATACAAAAATTTTGATTTTTTGAATTTTGGACAAAAGTACGATTACTAAAATGTCAATATCTTTGGAACTAGTGCACCAATTTTAAATCTTTTTGTATGAAAATGAAGCTAAATAATAAGAATATTATGTCTTAATTAAAAAATTAATTTTGAAGTCATTTAAAAATTTACAGCATTTTTTTTTAATTTTTCCTGCGAATTTTCCATAAAAATCTCGTTTTAATCAACATTTTTAATGGGATTAAAAGATTCAAAAAATCATTCCATAATTTATTCTTAAAGTCCATTCAAAACCGGAGAAAATGAGCCTTTAATGGATGAAATCGGTTGGAAATTGTCGAAGTTATGAGTCATTTAAAAATTTACAGCATTTTTTTTTTATTTTTACTGCGAATTTTCCATAAAAATCTTGTTTTAATCAACATTTTTAATGGGATAAAAAGATTCAAAAAATCATTCCATAATTTATTCTTAAAGTCCATTCAAAACCGGAGAAAATGAGCCTTTAATGGATGAAATCGGTTGGAAATTGTCGAAGTTATGAGCATTTTTGTAAAACACTTAAAAATGTTGCTGAAATACAACAGCTTTAGAGTTCCTTTTCTAGGTGTCGTTGTAAGCATCCAAATCGCATGTAAAGTTTTCATGGGAGATTCTTTTCTCTACATATCAATTTGATTAAGGCATATCAGGATTTAAAACCGAGTTGATACAAAAGAAATTTATTTAGGTTTTATTAAAAATGATTGAGAATCGAATGACTTTGTATTCGATGTTTTGAACTTGTTTCTCGAATCAGAAACCAACAATAG